GGGAGGTAGTTGAATCATGGGGGCAGTTACACTCATGTTGTTCTCCTGATAGTGAGCTCTCACTAGATCTGATGGTTTTATAAGGGACTTTTTCCCCCTTTTGCTCAGCACTTCTCCTTGCTTCTGCCATGTGAAGAAGGGTTTGTTTGCTTCCCTTTCCACCATGATTGTAAATTTCCTGAGGCCTCCCTAGCCATGCTGAACTGTGAGTCAATTAAACCTCTTTCCTTTATAAATTACCTAGTCTCAGGTATGTCTTTACTAGCAGCGCAAGAACGAACTAATATATGCAGCAAGCCCTCAGCCCAGGCACCTTGCACACACCGTCCCCTTGGTGTGGGAAACTCTTTCCTCACAGAGACACATGGTTAGTTTCCCTCTTTTATTTTTTAGTGTTTGCTGAGAAGCAATTTTCTCAGGAGGCCTTTACTGAGCATGCTCTGTGAATAGCGCACCCTTCCAATCTATCTTTATTGGTTGACACTGATTTTTACCTCATTACAAAATATATATTTATACATTCATGGTCTATCTCTCCCACTGAGATGTAGGCTTTCTGAGGGCTAGAAATTTGATGGCCTTATTTGTTGCTGTTAGGACTTATGTCCTGACAATATTGAAGTGCACAATAAATATTTGCTAAATGATCAAACTTCTGAATGAATGAATGAATGAATGAATGAATTCATCATCTAAGACTTCTAATGTTAGTTTCTCTAAAGTAAGCAAGAACTTGAAAACAGTAGAAAAGCAATCTGAAAGAAAATGGACTCCTTGTAGATTTGTATAAACTCCCACTCTAATTTTTTATGGTTATCTTGGCTGTACTTGTTTATCAACAGTTTTTTTACAGTGCACATGAACACTTTTGGGAACTGTTGGTAAACAGTGCCTCAAAAGGTGGAAGTAGTAACACACAGGGAGAACAAAGACAGATCAAGTGAAAGCATTCAGTACATCTTAATGTTATGTATAATATATTTTTTCACATATAAATCTGTGTATATATTATGAAAATGAACTGGGATCAAATATATAAACATTAAATGTTCATTAGCTTAAGTGATTATATCATGAGTAATTGCTTTTTGTTTTTCCTTACATTTTTCCCATAATAAATGCAGTTAGAAAAAAGCATAAAAATGACATTTTTTCTAGCCTACATGTTTTTTCAAAAGATATTTACCTTCAAATACCTTAACAAAGACACTTTGTTAGCCTGAACATTTTATTAGCTTTTGCTCTGTTTGACTTGAAAAAATTTAATACTGGCAGAATATGAGAAGTTGGAGCAAGATATATTTTATTTGCATTAAGATTTTAAACTTTCATTTAAAAATTAAAATTATGTTGCAAAACCTGATTTTCACTACAGTTTATTCATAATTAGCTGGTGTTATGATGTAAAATTAGGATCTTTTAATTCACACATATCTATGTCATATATTATCAATAAAAAACAAGGCTGAAGCAAAGATGAAAGAGACACAAGTAAAAGAAAATATAAAAGTATCATATGTAAAATAAAGTAACAAAGAAATAAATGTATCATTAGGACAGTCAGGGTTGGTGCTAAATAAACATGAAGGCCTGATTTCAGGGAACTCTGAAAGAGAGACAATCATAAAAAAGTGTGGGGGGGAGGGGGGCTTTGGCCTTATGACAAAATTGGGGCTGACCATCAGAGTGAGGAAGGTTTGGGTAGAGTTGTAACTGTTGCTGGAATTCCTCCTTACCAAACTCCCTTGTGACTCATGTGTATTAGAATAAACATGACTGTAAGGATTGGGTATAGTTTCCGTGTCAATTCTTTACTATGGAATAAACATGGACATGTGAGATGCCATTGGTTGGAGACTTGAGACCTTCCTGCAAGAATGAACTTTGTTAACACATGAACATGTATGTTCATCATAGCATGATTCACAAAGCAAAGACATGAAATCAACCTAACTGCCCATCAATGGTAGACTGGATAAACAAAATGTGCTACATATACACCATGGAATACCATGCAGCTGCAAAAACGAATGATATCATGTCCTTCACATGTTGTTTTGTATGCCATTTTGTTTTACATTTTGAAATATATTTTTTAAAAATTTTCATGTAATGTATGCTTTTAAAGAAAGCATTTTCATCTAAGTAGGCTTGTTTTCTAAAATAAATTTTAAGCTTCTTAAGCTGTCACCATATCCTGGTCTGCTCTTATACTTTTCAGTTTACTAAAAGTACTATTTTGTTGTGGGCACACAGTTGTCATTCAAAACATTCATTCAAATTGATAATTTTGACAAAAAGAAATATATTTTTTTCTAGAACGGAGATTCTCATATCCAATGGCTCTTAGAAATAAAGAAAAAGAAAGTTACAATTAGAAGGAAACCATAACCATAATTTTGAATAATTTTTCTTTGTCTTTTAATTCAAAAACAGTAATTAAAAATGTTGAAGATGGTTAAGTCATTTGCTTTTGTTTGAACTACTCTGTGGAAGATCATGTTCAAAAGGCTATTAATTCATGTTTATTAAAATCATTTCCCCTGGGTTATCTTGGTAAATGTTAATGTAAAACATACAGGGATTCCTGTTACAACTAATGTGTTAATTAAGAAATAAATGTACTTTTATGACTTATGCCTTTTGAGTTAATTAGATAGTAAATCATTCCCTAATGAGTGATTCTCAGAGTGTAATAGCTATCAGATTAAATTAAAACTTCAATTGGCACACGATTTCAATTCAAATAAGATGTCTGACGGGAGCCACTCTCAGTAATCTTTTTGTCATCTTTTATGACCATCTTCTTACATGGGATGATTCACATAAACTTTAGTGTGAGTGCAAGCTGAAGCACTTGTCACTTTTTCTTTAAAGTATACTTAGTAAATCAGGAATGGAAAACCAAATACTGTACATTCTCACTTATAAGAGGAAGCTAAACTATGAGTATGTAGAGGCATACAGAATGATACAATGGACTATGGAGACTCAGAAGAGAGAGGATTGGGAGGGTGAAGAATAAAAAACTGCCTATTGGGTACAAAGTACTGTAGTCAGGTGATATGCATACTAAAATTTCAAACTTCACTGCTATAAAATTCATCCATGTAACCAAAAACCACTTGTACTTCAAAAGCTTTTGAAATTAAAAAAAAAATTGTCAAGTATTTAACTTAGGGGTATGGAAATAATACATGTGTGGTGAAATAGATTTTTTAGCACACTGATTAAGTAGGGAAAAGCTATATAGGAAAAAAGTAAATAACTTTCAGTTTATCAAGACTTAATTCAGATTTTTAAAATTATGCTTACTCATCTCTAAGCTATGAAAAAGCAGTATGATACAGGCATTTTCCAAGTATTTTATTTTTTAAAATATATTTTAAGATAGAGAACAGGTTCTTATTACTCTTCCTTAGTTATAAGATTATTCAGAAGTTCGAGTAATTTACTACTTTCTTATTTTGTATCTATCTTAATTATTTTTGTAATAACTCTTTTCTGCAATTGTAATTATAGAAGTGTGAGTTTTGCTTAGCAAAGCACAAAAGCATCATTTCTATTCCTCTTTCTATCATTTTTGTCTCTTAAGACAAAATTAGGCATTCTAAATCATCATTCTAAATCAATCTCTTTCTTCACCTTTCTTCATTTTAACTTTCGGGCAATGTTTCATATTGAAAGCTGAAATGTTCCTTTATTTTAAGCAATTTAAGAAGAAAAAATTTTCTTTTCTTTCTTTTTCCTATCACAGTCATTTAGTTTTAAAGGCAGGAAACCAAAAACACATTTAGAAGTCTCATCATTAAACTTACAAATAAAGCTTCATTTCAAAAATGTATGTTTTATTATGTAGTGATCATTCAATTCTCCTTCAATATATAAAAAATGAACAAAAACCAATACATATTAATAGAATATGTTTTAATTTTTTTATGTTAGCATCAGAGCTTTAATAGAATATAAACAGTATGTGTGTAAAAATTTGTTAAATCATTTTCTTTCTGCTTAATTTATAAATGGCTTAGGAAAATCAATTTCATTGTAGGGTAGTCTTAAGTTTCAAGGTTTTATTGACCTACTGTGCTACCTAGTCTGCTAAAATTTAGAGAAACTCTGTGATTTTACATTGACAGAAATGACACATGTGAAGCAAAAAAGTCTATAAAAATATTCTAAGAAATTTCAAGAACAAGTCACATTTTAATGTCAAAAACTTTTTAAATCTTTCAAGCCCCAGAGGAATCATTGCTCTCCTGTTGTGATGCTTATATGTCTGACATTATACAAAAATGTCACTCTCTCCCTCTTCCTTCCTTCTCCCCTACTGTTCTCTTTTGCTACCAGTTTTCTATACAATTTGGTAGGGAACTGATGCATGAGGAAGAAACAATAATGCCTTTTGACTTTCTATTAGGAAAAGACTTCTCACCTCATGCCCAACAAGAACTAGGAATGGTGATCAAAACAGACTGCCTCTTCAAACTAAGGCTTCCCTATCTCCCTTTATCAGACCAAGGCCTATTCAAAAAACACTTTGAAATAAGAATAGCATTTGGCCAAAAGAAGTATAGTTCTTATGTTATAAGTGTCCAGTCAACCACAGTGCCACTGAAAATGGGAAATAGTTACTTTTGCACTCCCCATGGAGAAATAGGCCTGGGAAAGGAGCAGCAACTTCTGACTACCCGCTCTTCACTGCTTGGGCAGCACTCCATCATGGTGTTTTCAGAATATAGTCAATCTTTCAAAATATAATAATGCCGACCCTAAACAATTTCCTAGGAAGTCAGGACCTCAAATTTCTCAGGCAGGCAGGCAGATTTCTCAAAGAAGAATCTCTCTTTGGAAAGAAAAAAGTCTGCTTTATCTTTACTCATGCACCTTTCTCCTTGCATGTGAAACTTGCTGAAGGGGAATGTGATTTTATTTTCAACCATCTATCCATGCCAACTCTCTTATTCAACTTCTTGGTCTTATATTCATATTCAAGCAACCCTCTCTGACAATCATGCTGTCAGCTTGCTCTACATCCTTTCCCAAAGTTATTGCAGGTCAAGCTTGAACTCCTCTTTTGAACTTCATAATTCTCAAACAATCATCTGGATTGTTTTTGAGCAGTAGCTAAAACTTGTTTGATCCATCTTCCTCAGCCTTTATTTGTCCAATTCCTAAGTTGTCTATTTTTTCACTTTAGGCTTGAGCGTTGAGGATCACACTTGTTTAAACAGTTTATATTTCTCCCATTAGTATTAATAATAATTGAGCCTGAAGGAAAGCAAAATGTTTGCTATTTTTACACTCAGGCCCTTTGATTCTGTAAATAAATGGACCTATAAATATTCACCTATTTTGTAAAATATTATTTTGAGGAATCATACTATTGGGAGAAACTATCATTTTCAATATATTCTATTGTTACCCAGCACGACAGATACTTGGAGAAGGAAACAGGGATTATTTGAAATAGTTTCACTTGAACCTGGGAAGTACAAATCATTCAAATCCTACTCTTGCTTTACAGTAAGGACAAAAAGCTGTTTGAGGTGCTATGAGGGAAGGATAGAGATTCCTGGGCACTAGGGGAGGCAATAAACTTAAGAAAAAGAAAAATCATGTTCCATCCCCACACATTTTATAAGAGGTCCTTTGTAGTCCTGAGTTGGCTTAAGAGTCCCATCTCCTTCCTACTCTTGCTATTTCTTCATGAGCATAAGTCAAGGCAGGGATTTTCCTTTCTAATTTCAATCACACCAAGAAAGAACAAACATGACATGCTAACAGCATGTTAAAGTTGAGGCCTAAATACGGCCTGAGAAAGACTCTGTACTTCTATATTTGAATCCTTTTGGATAAACGGCAACCTAACTTGCTAGGTAGACAAGAATGAAAACCTCACTTAGGAGTATGTACCTGTAACAATAGCTGAGTCTTGACCAATCCCAGCAATCATACTTCAACCACTCATACACTGCTGAGTGTTACAAACTGTGTTCATATAAGGCAAATGCCAACCTGTAACCAATCCAGCTGATTCCTGTACATCGCTTTACTTTTTAGTCTCTAAATTTGTTCTGACCATGACGCTCCCCTAGGAGTCTCTCTGAATCTGTTGTGATCCTGGGGGCTTCCCGATTTATGAATTGTTTATTGCTCAATTAAACTCCTTTAAATTTAATTCAGCTGAAGTTTTTTTTTTTTTTTTTTCCCAACAATCATAAATAGTTGTTTCTTTGGCTGAGGGGTTTTTGGATAACTGTGAGTTTTTCAACCTGAGTTTTTATGTTAAAAAAAAAAAGGCTAATTTGGGAAGATGGATGACTAGAAACAGCTGTCATTGGAGGCTCTTACTGAGAAGAACAAAAACAGGGAGTGAATCCTGCACTGGCAACTAAGGTAACCAGGTTCTCTCATTGGGACTGACTAGGTGGTTGGAGTGACCCATGGAAAGCCAGGAGAAGCAGGATAGAGTGATAGCCCACTCTGGAGCCATATTGGGCAAGGGGAGCTCCCATCCCCAGCCAAGGGATGTGGTATGCAATTGTGCTACATTGGCCAGGAAATCATGCTGTTTCCATGGATCTGTGCAACCTGAGGATCAGAAGATCCCTCATGAGCCCATGCCACCAGGATCTTGGGTCCCAAACACAGACCTGTGCAGATTTTCAGTGGCTGCTTGGATGGAGACTGCCTAAGACTACTGAGTTCTGGCAGGAGAGGTGGCCATTATCACTTGGGCGACCTGTTGCCTAAGATGACTAATCTCCCAATGGGAGGGCCAGCAGCCATCACTGCAGCTCCAGTCTACAATTTTCCCCTGCCAATACTGGGGAAACTGGGCAGTCTGGACCCAGGAGGAATTCCCCACAATGCAGCACAGTGGCTGCGGCAGATTGTGGCCAAGCTACTGCTTTAGGGCAGACCTGGATGCATCCCTCCTCACCAGGCAGGGTCTCACTGTAGGAATTTCAGCAACTCCAACCAGCGGTTTATGAACAGAGCACTGATCTCCCCGGGATGGAGCCCCTGCGGGGGAAAGTGGCCATGTTCTCTGTGGATCAGCTGACTTAATGTTTTTCCTTGCTGGCTCTGAGGAATCCAGACAGTCTGGATGAGTAAGATTCCCCCAGCACAGCACACCCCATTCTCCAAGGGGCAGCCAGAGTGCTTTGTTAAGTGCGTCCCTGATCCTGTGCCTCCTGACTCAGTGAGAACCCAAAACAGGGGTCACCAGACACCTTGTACAGGAGCATTCCCGCTGGCATGAGGTTGGTGCACCGCTGAGACAGAGCTCCCAGAGGAAGGAGCAGGCACCCATTTTTGCTATTCTGCAGCCTCCACTGCTGATACCTCCAGGGGTGGAAGGGACACAGGAGAATAGGGTCTAGAATGAAACTCCAGCAGCCATATAAAAGAAGGGCCTGACTGTTAAAAGAAAAACAAACAAACAAGAAGCAACAATAACAACAGAATCAACAAAAAGTCCCCACAAACATCCCATCCAAAGGTCAATAGACTCAAAGATCAAAGATAGATAAACTCAGGAAGATGAGAAAGAATCAATGAAACAATGCTGAAAACTCAAAGAGCCAGAGTGCTTCTTCTCCTCCAAATGGTCACAACACCTCTCCAGCAAGAGCACAGAACTGGGCTGAGGCTGAGATTGATGCAACTGACAGAAGTAGGCTTCAGAAGATGGGTAATAGCAAACTTTTCTGAGCTAAAGGAGCTTGTTCAAATCCAATGCAAAGAAGCTAAGAACCATGACAAAACATTATAGGAGAAGTTAATCAGAATTAGAAGTTTAGACAAGAGCATAAATGACCTGATAAAGCTGAAAAACACAACATGAGAACTTCACAATACAACCATAAGTATCAATAGCTGAATAGACCAAGTGGATGAAAGAATTTCAGAGATTGGGGATTTGGATTCAGGGAAAGATGGCTGAAAGAAGACTTCTCTGGAGTGCAGCTACCACCAAGTGAGACAGAACCAGAGTGATATCCATGTCTCCAAGAGAGGTACCAGTTTTGTTTTAAATGGACTGGCTGAACAGTGATATTAACCCCCAAAAAGAGGCAGCAAAAGCAGCCCAAAGGCGTCCAGCCAAGGCAAGGCAGGGCACTGCCCCACCTGGAAAGTGTATCAGGCATGGAGGATTGGGCGGGCATCACCTCCCCGGTTCTCTGAATCAGATACAGCAATTCACTCCGAGACTTCAGTGGCGCACAGACCAGGAAAACGTCACCTTGCTGAGAACCACCTGGAGCTGCAGGCCCAGGCGATAGCCTAGGCTGGCAGCCCTGGCCAGACTGGTGCCTTGTTAGTGCAGACCACAGAGGAGATTTGGACTAATACTGAGAAAGCTTGTGAAAAGGAACTGCCCATCCCACAGAAGAGAGAGTTGAAAGTGAGAAGGGGGGTACGACCAGACAGGCTCCTCCCTTACAAGATCCAGCAACTGGAGTCCCTCCCCCGGGAGAGTTTTGCAGTTGACATATCCTCCACCTAGTAACAGTGGGCTCAGCAGAGGGAAAGAGTGCACCACTGGGAAGGCGGGGCTAACCCCACCAGTGCAGAAACCAGGCAAAGAATAAACAGCAGCCTGGCTGAGACCAAGGCAGCCCAGCAGCGCCTCCACAGGCAGACAATGGACAGACTGTCTCAAGTGGCTCACTGACACCTTAAAAAAAAAAAAAAAAAAGCTTCATAAAGGAGAAATAACCCCAGTTTTAACAGAAAGGATATCCATGCAGAGAAGATGGGAAGAAACCATCGCAAAAAGGATGAAAACATCAAAGTCCAGAATGCCTCTCCTCCCCCAGAGAGATCATAATGACTCACCAGCATGGCAACAAAACAGGTCAGAAAATGATTTTGACAAGCTGAAAGAAGCAGGCTTCAGAAGATGGGTAATTACAAACTTCTCTGAGCTAAAAGAACATGTTTTAACCCAATGCAAAGAAATTAAGAAAGTTGAAAAAATATTAGATGAAATGCTAACTAGAATAATAAGCTTAGAGAAGAACATAAATGACTTGATGGAGCTGAAAAACACAGCACAAGAACTTCGTGAAACATAAAGTTTCAATAGCTGAATTGATCAAGCAGAAGAAAATATATCAGAGATCGAAGATCAACTCAATGAAATAAAAAGAGAAGGCATGAAAAGAGATAAAAGAGTGAAAGGAAATGAAAAAAGCCTCCAAGAAATATGACATTATGTGAAAAGACATAATCTACGCTTGATCAGTGTACCTGAAGAGGACGGTGAAAATGAATCCAAGCTGGAAAATGCTCTTCAAAATATTATCCAGGAGAACTTCCCCAACATAGCAAAGCAGGCCAACATTCAAATATAGGAAATAGAAAGAACACCACAGAGATACTCCTAAAGAAGAGCAACCCCAAGGCACATAATCATCAGATTCACCAGGGTTGGAATGAAGGAAAAAATGCTAATGGCAGCCAGACAGAAAGTTCAGCTTACCCACAAAGGAAAGCCCATCAGACTCACAGCGGATCTCTTGGCAGAAACTCTACAAGCCAGAAGAGTGGGGACCAATATTCAACATCCTGAAAGAAAAGAACTTTGAACCTAGAATCTTTTATCCAGTCAACTAAGCTTCATAAGTGAAGGAGAAATAAAATCCTTTATGGACAAGCAATTACTGAGAGATTTCATCACCACCAGACCTGCCCTACAAGAAGAGGTCCTGAAGGAAGCACTAAACACAGAAAAAAAATCCAGTACCTGCTGCTGCAGAAACAAACCAAATGGTAAAGACCAATGATGCAATAAGGAAACTGTGTTGACCAACGGGCAAAACAATCAACCATTAACAAAATGGCAGGATCAAATTCACACATAACAATATTAACGTTAAATGTAAATGGCCTAAATGCCTCAATCAAAAGACACAGACTGGTAAACTGGGTAAAAACTCAAAACCCATTCGTGTACTGTATTCAGGAGATCCATCTTACATGCAAAAACACACATAGACTCAAAATAAAGGGATAGAAGAAGATCTACCAAGCAAAGGGAGAGAAAAAAAAAAGCAGGGGTTACAATTATAGTCTCTGATAAAATTGACTTTAAACCAACAAAGATTAGAAGAGACAAAGAAGGATACTATATAATGGTGAAAGGATCAATACAACAAGAAGATCTAATTATCCTAAATATATATGCACCCAATACAGGAGCACCCATATACATAAAGCAAGTTCTTAATGACCTATAAAGAGACTTAGACTCCTGCACAGTAGTAGTGGGAGACTTTAACACTCCACTGTCAACATTAGAAAGATCAATGAGACAGAAAATCAACAAGGATATACAGGACTTTAATGCAGAACTGGAACAAGTGGACCTAATAGACATCTACAGAGCTCTCTGGCCCACAGCCACAGAATATACATCCTTCTCAGCACCACATCACACTTATTCTAAAATTGACCACATAATTGGAAGTAAATCACTCCTCAGCAAATGCAAAAAAAAAAAATGGAAATCATAACAAATGGTCTCTCAGACCACAGTGCAATCAAATTAGATCTCTAGATTAAGAAACTAACTGAAAACTGCACAACTTCATGGAAACCGAACCACTGGTTCCTGAATGTTGACTGGATAAACAATGAAATGAAGGCAGAAATAAAGATGTTATTTGAAACCAACGAGAACAAAGACGTAACATACTAGAATCTCTGGGACACATTTAAAGCAGTGTCTAGAGGGAAATTTACAGCAATAAATGCCCACATGAGAAGCAAGGGAAGATCTAAAATTGACACCCTATCATAAATTGAAAGAGCTAGAGGAACAAGATAAAAAAAACTCAAAAGCTAGCAGAAGACAAGAAATAACTAAGATCAGAGTAGAATTGAAGGAAATAGAGACACAAAAAAATCCTTCATAAATCCTGGAGCTGGTTTTTCAAAAAGATCAACAAAATAGACAGGCCGCTAGCCAGATTAATTAAAAAGAAAAGAGAGATGAATCAAATAGATACAATAAAAAACGATAAAGGGGATATCACCACAGATTCCACAGAAATACAAAGTACCATCAGACAAACATTTCTATGCACATAAACCAGTAAACCTGGAAGAAATGGATAAATTCCTGGACACTTGTACCCTCCCATGCCTACAACAAGAAGAAGTTGAAACCCTGAATAGACCAATAATAAAGGCTGAAGTTGAGGCAGCAATTAACAGCCTACCAACCAACAAACTCCAGGTCCAGATGGCTTCACAGCCGAATTCTACCAGACATATAAAGAGAAGCTGGTACCAATCATTCTGAAATTATTCCAAACAATACAAAAGTAAGGAATCCTCCCCAACTCATTTTATGAGACCAACATCATCCTAATACCAAAACCTGGCAGAGACTCAACACAAAAAGAAAACTTCAGGCCAATCTCCGTGATGAACATAGATGCAAAAATCTTCAATGAAATACTGGCAAACTGATTGTAACAGCACATCAAAAAGCTTATCCATCATGATCAAGTAGGCTTCATCCCAGGGTTGCAAGGCTGGTGGAACATATGCAAGTCCATGAATGTAATCCACCACATAAATAGAACCAAAGACAAAAACTACATGATTATCTCAATAGATGTACAGAAACCCTTCACCAAATTTCAACAGCCTTTATCCTAAAAACTCTCAATAAACTAGGTATTGATGTAACATATGACAAAATAATAAAAGTTATTTATGACAAACCCATTGCCAATATCATACTGCATGGGCAAAAACTGGAAGCATTCCCTTTGAAATCTGGCACTAGACAAGGATTCCCTCTCTCTCTCCACTCTTATTCAATATAGTATTGGAAGTTTTAGCCAGAGTAATCAGGCAAGAAAAAGAAATAAAGGGTATTCACTTAGGAAGGTAGGAAGTCAAATTGTCTCTATTTGCAGATGATATTATTGTATATTTAGGAGACCCCATCATCTCATCCCAAACTTTCCTTAAGCTGATAAGCAACTTCAGCAAAGTCTCAGGATAAAAAATCAATGTGCAGAAATCACAAGCATTCCTATACACCAATAACAGGCAAACAAAGAGCCAAATCAATAGTGAACCCCCATTGACAATTGCTACAAGAATAATAAAATGCCTAGGAATACAACTAACAAAGGAGGTAAAGGACCTCTTCAAGGAGAACTACAAACTACTGCTCAAGGAAATAAGAGAAGTCACAAACAGATGGAAAAACATTCCATGCTCATAGTTAGGAAGAATCAATATTGTGAAAATGGCCATACCACCCAAAGTTATTTATAGATTTAACGCTATCCCCATCTAACTACCAATGACCTTCTTCACAGAACTGGAAAAAACCACCTTAAACTTCATATGGAATGAAAAAAGAGCCTGCATAGCCAAGATAATCCTAAGCAAAAAGAACAAAGTTGGCAGCATCACGCTGCCAGACTTCAAGCTATACTACAAGGCAACAGTAATCAAAACAGCATAGTACTGATATCAAAACAGGGACATGACCAATGGAACAGAACAGAGGCCTCTGGAGCAACACCACACACCTACAACCATCTGATCTTTGACAAACCTGACAAAAACAAGCAATGGGGAATGGACTCCCTATTTAATAAATAGTGTTGTGAAATTGGCTGCTAGCGATGTGCAGAAAGCAGAAACGGGACCCCTTCCTGACATCTTACACTAAAATTAATTCCAGATGAATTAAGGACTTAAACATAAGATCTAACACCATAAAAACCCTAGAAGAAAACCTAGGCAAAGCCATTCAGGACATAGGCATAGGCAAGGACTTCATGACTAAAACACCAAAAGCAATGGCAAAAAAGGCAAAATTAGACAAATGGAATCTAATTCAACTTCAGAGCTTCTGTACAGCAAAAGAAACAGTCATTACAGTGAACCGACAACCAACGGAATGGGAAAAAATTTTTGCAATCTACCCATCTGACAAAGGGCTAAAATCCAGAATCTACATAAAACTGAAACAGATTTACAAACAAAAAACAAACCCATCCAAAAGTGGGCAAAGGATATGAACAGACACTTTTCAAGAGAAGGCATATATGAAGACAACAAACATATGAAAAAATGCTAATCATCACTGGTCATTAGAGAAATGCAAATCAAAACCACATTGAGATACCATCTCATGCCAGTTACAATGTCAATCATTAAAAAATCTGGAGACAACAGATGCTGGACAGGATGTAGAGAAATAGGAACACTTTTACACTGTTGGTGGGAGTGTAAATTAGTTCAACCATTGTGGAAGACAGTGTGGCGATTCCTCAAGGACCTAGAAATAGAAATTCCATTTGACCCAGCAATCCCATTACTGGGTATATACCCAAAGGATTATAAATCGTTCTATTATAAAGACACATGCAGATGCATGTTCATTGCGGCACTGTTTAATAGCAAAGACCTGGAACCAACCCAAATGCCCATCAATGATAGACTGGAAAAAGAAAATGTGGCACATATACACCATGGAATACTATGCAGCAATAAAAATGATGAGTTCATGTCCTTTATAGGAACATGGATGAATCTGGAAGCCACAATTCTCAGCAAACTGACACAAGAACAGAAAATCAAACACGCATGTTCTCTGTCATAGGTGGGTGTTGAACAATGAGAACACTTGGACACAAAGAGGAGAGCATCACAGACTGGGGTCTGTTGGGAGGGCGCTATGGGAGGGATAGTGGGAGAGTGAGTGGGGGAGGAATAATGTGGGGAGCAATGTCAGGTATAGGTGATGGAGGGATAGTGGCAACAAACCACCTTGCCATGAATGTATCTATGCAACAATCTTTCATGATCTGCAAATGTACCCCAGAATCTAAAGGACAATAAGAAAAAAAAAGAATTTCAGAGATTGAAGACTATCTTTCTGAAATAAGACAGGCAATAATATTAGAGAAAAAAGAATAAAAAGGAAATATAAAGCCTTCAAGAATTATGGGATTATATAAAAAGATAAAACCTATTACTGAAGTACCTGAAAGAGACGTGGAAAAGGGAACCAAATTGGAAAACATACTTTACGACATCATCCTCAAGAACTTCCCCAACATAGCAAAACAGGCCAACATTCAAATTCAGGAAATCCAGAGAACCCAGTAAGCTACCCTATGAGAAGATGAACCCAAGACACACAGTCATCACACTCTCCAAGATAGAAATGAAGAAAAAATATTAAGGGCAGCCAAAACTCAGAAAAGATTGGGGGTCAATATTTATCATTCTTAAAAAAAAAGGCTTTACAGTCCAGATTCTCATATCTAGCCAAACTAAGCTTCATAAGTGAAGGGGAAATAAAATCCTTTCAGACAAGAAAATGTTAAGGGAAATCGTCACCACAAGAGCCCTCGAAGGATGCCTCAACATAAGTAGAAAAAACCGTTACCAGCCACTACAAAAACATACTGAAGTAACAGACCATTGACACTATGAAGAAACTGTATCAACAAGTCTGAAAAATTACCAGCTAGTATCATGATGACAGGATCAAATTCACACATAACAATATTAACCTGAAATGTAAATGGGCTAAATGCCCCAATTAAAAGACAGAACGGCAAATTGGATAAAGTCAAGACCCATTGGTGTGCTGTGTTCAAAAAGATCCAGCTCATGTTCAAAGGTATACAGAGGCTCAAAATAAAGGGATGGGGAAAAATCTACCAAGAAATGGAAAGCAGAAAAAAGCAGGGGTTGCAATCCGATTTTCTGAGAGAATAGATTTTAAACACACAAAGATAAAAGAAGACAAAGAAGAGCATTGCATAATGGCAAAGGGTTCAATTCAACAAGAAGAGCTAACTATCCTAAATAAATATGCACCCAATACAGGAGCACTGATATTTATAAAACAAGTTTGTGGACTCCCACACAATAATAGTGGGAGATTTTAATGACCCACTGTCAATATTAGAAAGATCATCAAAACAGAAAATTAACAAAGATATTCAGGACTTGAACTCAACTCTGGTTCAAGCAGACCTGATAGATATCTACAGAACTGTCCAAACAAAATCAACAGAAAATACATTCTTCTTGGCACCACATGGTACTTACTTACTCTAAAATTGATCACATAATTAGAAGTAAAACACTCCTCAGCAAATGTAAAACAACTGAAATCATAAAAAACTGTCTCTCAGACCACACAGTTCAATCAAATTAGAACTCAAGATTATGAAACTCACGGAAAACCACACAACTACATGGAAATTGAATAACCTGCTCCTTAATGACTCCTGGGTAAGTAATGAAATTAAGGTAGAAATCAAGAAGTTCTTTAAAACCAATGAGAACAAAAAGACAATGAACCAGAATCTCTAGGACACAGCTATGGCAGTGTTAAGAAGAAAATTTATAGCACTAAATGTCCACATCAAAAAGCTAGAAAGATCTCAAATTAACATCTTAACATTACAACTAAAAGAACTAGAGAACCAAGAGCAAACAAACCACAAAGCTAATAGAAGACAAAAAATAACCAAGATCAAAGCAAAACTGAAGGAGATAGAGACATGAAAAACCATTAAAAAAGATGAATGCAGGAGCTGGTTTATTTAAAAACTTAATAAAATAGATCACTAGCTAGACTAATAAAGAAGAAAATAGTCTTACAAGGACTTTATTAGTCTAAAAAATTAATAAAGAAGAAAAGAATAAAATCAACACAATACAATATGTTAAAGTGGATAACACCACTGACTCTGCAGAAATACAAGCAACCATCAGAGTATATCATAAACACCTCTATACAAATAACCTAGAAAATCTAGAATAAATGGATCAATTCCTAGATACACACCCCCTCCCAAGACTGAATCAGGAAGAAGCTGAATCCCTGAATAGACAAATAACAAGTTCTGAATTTGAGGCTGTATAAATAACTTACCAACCACAAAAAGCCCAGGAAGATGGATTTACAGCTGAATTCTACCGGAGGTACAAAGAGGAGGTGGTACCATTTCTTCTGAAACTATTCCAAACAATTGGAAAGGAGAAATGTCTCTCTAACTCTTTTTATGATACCAACCCCTGGCAGAGGTACAAAAACAACAACCAAAAAACAAAAAAAAAAAAGAAAACTTCAGGCCAATATTCCTACTGAATAAAAACACAAAAATCATCAATAAAATACAGGTAAACTGAGTACAGCAGCACATTAAGAAACTTATCCACCATGATCAAGTCAGCTTCAGAACTAAAGATGAAAACCTCATGATTATCTCAATATACACAGAAAAGGCCTTTGATAAACTAAAACATCCCTTTGTGTTAAAAAAAACTCTTAATAAACTAGGTATTGATGGAACATGCCTAGAAATAGTAAGAACCATTATGACAAACATACAGCCAATATAATACTGAATGGAGAAGAACTGGAAACATTCTTCTTGAAAACTGACAAAAGACAAAGATGCACTCTCTCACCATTCCTATTCAACATAGTATTGGAAGTTCGGGCCAGGGCAATGAGGCAAGAGAAAGAAATAAAGTGTATCCAAACAGGAAGACAGGAAGTTAAACTGTCTCTGTTTGCAGATTTCATGATTCTTTATCTAGAAAACCCCATCATCTCAATCCAAAAGCTTCTTAAGCTAATAAGGCACTTCAGCAGTCTCTGGATACAAAATCAATGTGCAAAAATCACAAGAATTTCTATACATCAACAATAGGTAATCAGATAGCTAAATAATCAATGAATTCCAATTTACACTTGTTACAAAGAGAAGAAAATACCTAGGAATATAGCTAACAAGGGAAGTCAAAGACCTCTTCAAGAACTACAAACTACTGCTAAAGGAAATCCGAGAGAACACAAACAAATGGAAAACATTCCATGCTCATGGATAATAAGAGTCAATATCATGAAAATAGCCATACTGCTTAAAGTAATTTATAGATTCAATGCTTTTCCTATTAAATTACAATTGACATTTTGCACAAAATTAGAGAAAAAAACTACTTTAAAATTCATATGGAACCAAAAAAGAGCCCATATAGCCAAGACAATTCTACGCAAAAGAAAAAAGCTGCAGGCGTCACACTACTTGACTTCAAACTATACTGCAAGGCTTAAGGAACCAAAACAGCATGGTACTTGTACTAAAATAGACACATAGACCAATGGAACAGAATAGAGAATTCAGAAATAAGACCACCTATCTACAACCATTTGATTTTTGACAAACCTGACAAGAACAAGAAACGGGGAAAAGATTCCCTATTTCATAAATGGTGCTGGGAGAACTGGCTATCCGTATGCAAAAATTGAAAGTGAACCCCTTCCTTACACATTATACAAAAATTAACTCAAGATTGATTAAAGATTTAAAAACCCCAAACTATAAAAATACTAGAAGAAATATAGGCAATATCACTTAGGACATTGGCGCAAACAAAGATTTCA